GTAACCCCTGCCACTGGGGGTTGTTGTAGTAACCTCAGGTTGAAATTAATCTTGCCATTGCTGAAGCTCTGAGGTTGTTAGAGATGAGTTCTTATCAAGCACTGAGTGAAGAAATTCCACTTCTGCTTGAGGGTTGAGGTGACTTGAAAGGTGGGACCGGGTGAATGCAATGAAGTTCAACACAGCACGGTGCAAGGTTTTGCACTTGGGCCAGAGGAATCCATACAGACTGGAAGGAGAAGTCCTTGAGAGCAGCCCTGCAGAGAAGGACCTGGCGGTCCTGGTGGATAAAAGGCTTAACATGAGCCAGCAGCGTGCTCTTGTAGCTTGAAAAGCAAATGGTATCCTGGGCTCCATCAGCAGAGGGGTGGCCAGCAGGGACAGGGAGGTGATTGTCCCCCTCTACTCTGCTCTTGTGAGGCCCCATCTGCAGTGCTGTGTGCAGGTCTGGAGCCCCCAGTATGGAAAGACAGGGAGCTGTTGGAGAGGGTCCAGAGGAGCCACAAAGATGAGCAGGGGGCTGCAGCGCCTCCACTACAAAGACAGGCTGAGGGAGCTGGGCTTGTTCAGCATGGAGAAAAGAAGGCTGCGGGGTGACCTCAGTGCAGCCTGCAGTGCCTAAAGGGAGCCTGCAGACAGGAGGGGAGTCAGCTCTTGGAAAGGGGAGATGGCAGCAGGACAAGGGGAAATGGTTTGGAGTTGAGGGAGGGCAGATGGAGGTTGGATGTCAGGGGGAAGTTGTGTGCTGTGAGAGTGGTGAGGTGCTGGAACAGCTGCCCAGAGAGGCTGTGATGCCCCGTCCATCCCTGGAGGTGTTGAAGGCCAGGTTGGATGGGGCCCTGGGCAGCCTGGGCTGCTATGAAATGTGGAGGTTGGTGGCCCTGCATGGCACAGGGGGGTTGGAGCTTCGTGATCCTTGAGGTCCCTTTCCAATCCAGGCCGTTCTATGACTGAGGTGGCCATAACACAATACATGTTATCCTCGCTTTTTTGTTTGGTGTTCCACACTCAGGGATGCAGCTCTGATACTCCCTGCTTTAGGAGAAGCACTGGAGGCAAACTGTTTGCTTGTATCTGTAACCAGGAGCACGAGGGGAGCTCGTTCAAGAGCGCAGGGTTTGGTAAAGCAGGTGTTTCTGTCCCCGTGTCCCATGGCTTTTTCTTTTAGCCTGGTTTGGGGCAGTGCAGAAGTGAGTCCTGCACTGCAACTCGCTGTGTTTTGAAGAGCCAGGTAAATTATCCAGAGGGAAATGTATTTTATAGTAGCTGGGGGGGAGAGTGCGTGTCAGATGTGTGGGATGTAAATGGTCAGCAAGTGAAGGGCAGGAGGCCATAGGCAGAGCACTGCTGCCTGGGTAGCCGTGCATCTAACAGTTTCCCTTGCTGGGCCTGCTGCAGTGTGGGGGAAGGCAAATTCTCATTGCATTGATGCATTATGTCGTTACTGCAACCTTTTAATGTATTACAGTGTGCATGTTTGAAGCAAATATTAACTTTCTGCTAACCCACGTGCATGTGGTGGTTGTTTATATGATGGCTTCGTTGGAAATAGTGACTAACTTGGGATTTGTTGTGGAAGGAGGTTAACAACTGGAAGTGAAGAGCTGGGCTCTTGAAGGGCTTTGCTAAATGGTGGTAAGAGCAGCTGGGGAGGGTTGTGGAGCATTGCAAGAGAGCTGTCCTGCTGTGGGAGTAGGATCCAATAGAGAAAGTAAAGAGAAATACGTTCTGAAAGGTGTAGTGAAATCAACTACAGATTTCAGAGCTGGTAAACAGGCTGCTGCACAGAGCAGCACTGGTTTTGTTGTTGTTCCACTATAAATAGAGCCAAGTTGTAGCTGGTAAGTACACCCAGAAGGGGCTGGGCACAGACACCTTGCTGAGACCTTTCAGGTACGACAGCTTGGTTTTGTTGTGCTTTCACTTTGTTTGGTGTTTGCCACTTGGGGAAGCAGAACGTAGCAGCAGGTGGTGAGGATGTTCCTTGGGAGGATTCAGAATCCGAGGGAGATGGTTTGGGGCTTTCAAACAAGAACTGCAGAACAGTGTGGCACTGATGCAGTCCTGCATGCAAAGGAAGAAGAGCAGGATGTGTTGTGTGTGTGAGTGCAGGCACACACAGCTGAAATCTGAGCTAGAAATGCAGTATTTCTCAAGAGGAGATGCTTTAGTGCTCCTTAGGTGGGAAGATTTGCTTCTTTCTGGATGGTGTAATAAAAGAGAATCGATACCGCTTTGAGGTGCCTTGGTCTCAGGGTGGGTGCAAGGTTCTGCTGGCCCTTTGCATGCATTTACTCCACGTAGCCCTCCATAGTACTCCTATTAATAACACTAATAGCTGCTGGCATTTCATGCTTCTGTGGTGTCATAGTAATTGATAGTTAGCTCTGTGGGCTCCTGCTGGAAAGCATGATGCTGCCAAGCATGCACGCCAGGTGCGGGAGGAGGAGGCCGAAGCTGGCTGTGTGTTGACCTGGTGGGCACAGCTTGGCCTTGGAGATGCCATCCTGGCACCAGTTGGAAGCTGAAAATTACATCTGTCTGACAGCTTTGTTTCGATATTCCGATATGAAAACATAAAACATCTTTTTGCCTCCAAACCGTTTCGTAGCACGTGTTTCTTGGTGATGTTCCTCTGTTACATGAGCAGAAATATCTCTGTCTCTTCTGTTACGGAGGCCACGTATAAAACGTGGCTCTGTTCACAGTGTGCTTAAGCTAACAGAAGCAATAGAGATCTCTTATTCTGAGCATTTCATTTTGTGAAGCTTTCTTCTCAGTTGATGAATATCCTGTGAAAACAGCAAGGCATGTCCTGCTAGTTGCTCTTTTCACTTGCTGCAGTCTTGTTAGTGATCCTTAAAAGACTTCTTAAACAAAGGCTTACCTCCAAGATAGATGAAACAATGCACGTTTTGTTTCGAGTTATCCAAACTTCTAACTCGTATTTTTTCTTTTCCAGCTTGTACTTCCAGAGTACCTCATCCATGCATTCTTCTGTGTTATGTTTCTCTGTGCAGCAGAGTGGCTTACACTGGGTCTCAATATGCCTTTGTTGGCTTATCATATTTGGAGGTAATATTGATGAGTCTGGTGTCTGTGTACTCACGTTAATTGTAACTCATTGCAGTGCTTCCTGTTAAGTGTTCTGTGTCTGCAGCAAGTAAGGATGCTTCCTGAGGTGGCAGTGAGAAAGCTGACATCCAGGCTATCAAATAAAAAGCATCGCTTTGCTTCCTCTCCTTGTCTGTATTCCCTTGTGCCGTGCAAGAACCCCATATTGGGCAGCAGTGGCAGCTGATGTGACAGAAGTGCACTGAAGCTGCATACTGACGGCGTGGGCTGCTGGTAGGAATGGCAGCCCTGCTTCCTTTTGCTGCTAGTTCTGTGCTGTGAGAGTGGTGAGGTGCTGGAACAGCTGCCCAGAGAGGCTGTGATGCCCCGTCCATCCCTGGAGGTGTTCAAGGCCAGGTTGGATGGGGCCCTGGGCAGCCTGGGCTGCTGTGAAATGGGGAGGTTGGTGGCCCTGCCTGTGGCTGGGGGTTGGAGCTCCGTGATCCTTGAGGTCCCTTCCAACCCGGGCCGTTCTGTGATTCTATGATGGAATCTGTGCAGGGAGCTGCAGGAGGTTGAAACAACCCAGCAAAACAGTTTTCCCTGTGTGGATGTAGCTGTGCTGGTCCTGGCTGGAGGTAGGGTGGCTGTTTGCCAGCAGCCTGCATTAAGCCACAGCTGCGGGATCATTCTGCATTGACCTGTGTGAGTGCTGCTCTGCTCTGGTACACAGCGTGCACTGTAGCAACGATTCAAGGCTGCAGGCTACGTAGGGTGCTGCAGTGATCCCTTCTCCACCTTTTCCAACCCTTTATAAGGAATCCCACGTGTAAAACTGGCAGAATGCTGTTTTTCATTTATAAACAAACGTCCCGTTGCCAGCTGCTGTGCCACAGCTCGGCCTGCTTTAAGGCTGGGGGCAGCTCCTGGGTCTGTGTGTCAGAAACTCTTTGGTGCCCACGGTTGGCTGGGGCCTCCTGCATTTGCACTTTGCACTTTGCAGTCTCCTGTGAGGGGCTGTGGGCTGCAGCTCCTCATTGCAGTGCTGTGCTGCTTGGTGGGCGGGGGGCACAAAGCCATGTTTACCGTTGCTGGTGCCCCAAAACTGATTGTGTGTCGCTTCCAGGTACATGAGTAGACCTGTGATGAGCGGCCCTGGTCTGTATGATCCTACAACCATCATGAATGCAGACATTTTAGCCTATTGCCAGAAGGAAGGATGGTGCAAATTAGCATTCTACCTTCTATCATTTTTTTACTACTTATATGGGTAAGTTTGCTCCTCTGTCCTCTGTCTCATCTTTAGTCTGCTCTTTTAGGCTGGGTGCAGTGCCAAGAGAAGTTTTGAACTCAGCAATGTAAATAACGCCAACTTGCCTGAGGAAATAATTCACACAGTGCCTTATATTCCATTATAAAACACGAGTCTTAATTTGGTTGGAATTCCTCATTTGAATCTGGGCATTAGAACGACTGGAGAGCTCCAGGCCTCTCTTCTGTTAAGCACAACTGAATGCCACCCTCCCCACCCAGACCTGTGTGTCCATGAAGAAATGGGAGCAGCAGCACTTCTCAGTTGTGTAGGCATTAGAACTGATTTTTCTTTAAGGTGGCACTCATTCCAAGAGTGAAAAGGGAGGGGACCCACAGGAGCCATCACAGCTCCCTTCTGCCTTGTCCTGCCTCCAGGCCAAAAGCTGATGGGTGTCTGGGCAATGGGACACAGCTGCTGAGTGCTGATGTGGGCAAGGGGTGCTGCAGGGCTCCCTGTACGGTGCTGCTTCATCTGCTTGTTGCATCAGTTCTCATCATCCTGCGCAGTGCCCTCTGGTGTTTGTGTCACATCTCCGGTCCCCGTCCATGTGCCTCACACGGATTTGTTCCTCTGAGACCCCATAATTCAACGTGTAACGTTTATGAAAGTCACACACCTGAATGTTATTTTTCTTCTTATTTTTCAGCATGATTTACGTTCTGGTGAGCTCTTAAGAAGACATTCGGCAAGCTTTGTTCCATTTAAGTGCATGCAAAAGCCACAAACCATGGATTATTTACAGCGACCACGTCGTACCAAGATTAAATACGGAACCTGATGATCGCATTTGCTTTACAAACAATGACTCCCCTATTTTTAAAACATTTCCACATTTTATACTTGTGGAAAGACTGTTTTCTTATATTTTACCGGGACACTGAAATTATGGAATTACATTAGTATAAAGATTACTGGGTTTTGACTTTGCACTCCATAAGGAACAGCCGTAGTCCTCGATAGGTGTTTGTAACTGAGCAGCCATAGCACAGCAGTTCCTTTGGGCTTCAGCCCTGCATCCCTCTGACTGCCATCAGCTGTACTGCCACGGGCTGGGGGGACCAGTGTGCCATGCTCTGCCTGTAGGTGATGTCAGTCTGAAGAGATGAAGGGACACAGCTGCAGAAACAGCACTTCTGTTCTTTTTTCCCTTTCCTATCTGGTAACCTTTCCCTGTCAGTGCATGGTTCTGTATTTTCACCAGCTGCTAGCCTTGCTGTAATCACAGGCGTGTCGTCGTGATAGGAAACATTGCATTGTCCACAAAGGAGTGAATCTGATGATTTGTTTACAGTCCGTGCACAGACACCATTAGCAAACTTATTCACACATGGATAAATGCACACTTATCAGTTCCAACGGTGAAAATACTCCTGAGCTTGAGAGTAATACCACAGAGCTTCTCAAAGGAGAGATTGTGAAACTGCCCTGCTGTTCCTTAGTGCAATAAATAAAGTCTCAAATTCAGAACTGCTTGTTTTTATTGGTGCCTCGTTTTGTCTTTAAATTCATCTGTTGGGATCATTGCATACCTTTTAGAACCAGAACACAGAATCAAGTTGTGTCTGAGAAGGGAAGCTCCAATTCCCTGCTTTTGTGTTTTTGTGGCTCTGCAGATGAACAGTGATCGGGGCTGGGAACATTGCATTGTAAATGGTCGTTGTGAACAGCTTCCATGTGATAAGAAGAATCTTTTGCATTTACCTGTTGAGGAAAATGAAGTAATTTTCCAGTTTTAGCAACACAGTTTTGTATAAGTAGTTTATTTGTTCCCTTTGAGTCCCCCAGGTGCTGGATCTAATAGCACAACGTACAGGTGGCTGCAGAAGTCTGCACAGTGGAAGAAAATAGGTAGAAACCCAGGTGTTACAGATCTCCTGCACTGGGGACTTGGCATCTTCAACAGCCACTGAATGGCTCCCATTAATTTGGCTGCTTTTTGAGTACTTCCATAGCCTAGAATGAAAGGTGGCAGAGGCAGTGAGCTGTGCCTCACAGGATGTGTGTGTGTGTATGGGGGGGGGGGGGGAAGATGAAACACGCTGGAAAATTCTGCTGTATTTCACGTGGTGCCTCCAAATTCCTATTCCAACCCACCCCAAACTGCTCCAAGCTGTACTCCACCTCTTCTGTGTTAAAAAAAAAGACTTCTTTCCCTTAAGCTGTAACTCTGAGCTTTTTGCTAAACAACGTTGAAAGTTTCTTTGGAAATCCATGCAATGGTTCCTATTGGACCATCTTTGTTTTTTCCTGCTTCACTTTACTGCCATTTGAAACGGCAGTGATAGGAAACATTGAGGGAGCAGAGCCATAATCCTGTGCACTCAGCTGCACAGAAGCAAAATATTCCTCGATAAATAAAACAGTAAAGCTTTACATGTGGGAATCCAAAAGTGAAAGCAGGAGAGTAACTTCCTAATGGGGTTCTACTGTGAGCTTCAGCTTCCAGCTGCCCCCAGGAACAAAATGCTTGGCTTGAGTCTGTCCTGCTGCTGCAGATAAGTGTGCCAGAACTGAGGAATTACACACAGCTATATATCTACTACGTATCTATTACATATAGCTACATTTTACAAACAAGGCTGTAGCTAGAAGTACATTTGTCTCTTCTCCTCTCCCAACACACTAAAGTAGAAGGCAGCCTATTGGCATTCCAAGTCTGTACTTAGCTGCCATAGGGTTACAGATGGTTTTGTTTCCACCTGCATGTCCAACACTTGTCCCAGTTCTCATGCTACATAAAAACAGAGACAAAACACAAATGAAATTCAGTCATAGCTTTGATAGCCCAGCCCTGCCTCCATGCAGTAAGCACAGAACATCAACACAGAGAGGCCAGCACACCAGTGTAGTGACAGCACAGTGCCAAGAGATGCTAAACATCAGATAGTCTATGTTTGGATGTTGGGGAAATTCTTCACAGAGTGGTGAGGTGCTGGAACAGCTGCCAGAGAGGCTGTGATGCCCCGTCCATCCCTGGAGGTGTTCAAGGCCAGGTTGGATGGGGCCCTGGGCAGCCTGGGCTGCTGTGAAATGGGGAGGTTGGTGGCCCTGCATGGCACAGGGGGGTTGGAGCTTCGTGATCCTCGAGGTCCCTTCCAACCTGGGCCGTTCTGTGACTCCGCTCAAGTTGTCCTTGTGTTGAGAAGAAGCCTGTTAGGCATTCAGGTCAGCACCACACCAGTAATGAACACAAAACAGTTCAGTGCATTTTAAGGCAGTGAGTACAAAGGATTGCTAAAAAGATGCAGAAGCTCTATGTCCATCAAGATTCCTGCCTCCAGCCCCAACACTTGACACGCATCTGAAAGCGAGCAGCGGTGGCACAGAGGCAGCAGCAACAAGCAGGTACTGAGGTTGGGATGAGCTGCCTTGTCCAGGTGTTTGCCACAGCCGCGCAGACAAAGCCACTCCAGCACACGCTCACTGTGACACCAACCTCTGTGCTGTGCCCTGTGCTTCCAGCTGTGCAGCTACACTCCCTCGGAAGTCATGGATATAATTGTATTGCTGAAAAAGCACAGTGACATTTGTAAGGAGCACTGCGTACTTCTGAGCAGGTACAGCCTGTCCTAAAAGGCTGTCTGACTCCCCACAATTCAAGCAGCACCCTCCAACTCTGTTTAAATAGTTTTTTGTCTTGTGCTCACTCCAAATCCTCTGGAATATTTTTAACCACTGGACAAATGAGACGGATCTTAGCTCAGGTCCCACGCTTGCCAGAAAGGACACATGAGCTTAAGGTAAGTCTAGGAAGGTGGGAGTTCCATGTTAGAAATCAAAGCTGCTTTGTTTGGGCCAACCAAGGAACTCTGCTCTCTCCACAAAGAGTCCATGATGCCAAACAACCTCCATTCAGCATAATGAGACCCAGCAGTTTGTGCTAAGAGCTGTCATGTCAACCCATACATCATTTGGAGCACTAATATCCAAGTGTTTAATATGAGATTTAATGATCAGAGGCTAAAGGAGAGAGCAACCCAAGCGACGGCTTCAAATGATAACATTTGTTCATATTTCCTACTCCCACCCCAACCTCCTTCAACCCAGGATGCAAGCTGCTCCCTCATCTGTCCTCTTGGCTTGTGGAAAACTGATTTTCAACAACTAGCTCAAATTAAATTTGGGTTCCATAGAGGCTTAGAGCTGGCAGACAGCCTTCAGGTAACTCCTTTTTTCTTGGAAGCTACTGCCTTGCAAACTGATTCAATGTCAGCTTCTCTTGTCTGTACACAGAACTACTGTAAGAGCATAACTTATGTATGAACTGCTGGCCCAAGAGTAGCCAAAATCCATCAAAGCAAGAAGAACAGAAACCCAGCCGTTAAGCAGCTTAAGACCCTCCATGTAGGGTTTGAAAATAAAGTTAGGGGTACTTCTTGAAAGACTGCTTGGGCTTTCACGTGGCAGCTACAGTTAGGATGAGTTAGAAAGATTTAAGAGAGAGGCAGAAAAATTAAACAGAAGAGAATGAGGACAACAGAAAGATGGACAACAGCTTAGTGAGTTATGAGCAGGGATAAGGATGAGAAAGCAAGAGATTACTAATGATGGCAGAGAGCAGACAAGCAGGACGTGTGCTGAATTCAGTATAGGCAGACCAGGCTGGCAACAGGAGGAAAGAAAAATGCCAGAGGCAGCTCAAACTCAGGAAAGAGGTGGGGGCAGCAGATGTGAAACACCTCCAAGAGGTGGAGGGATCCCTTTGTGAAGCAGAAGGAAGGGTTGTCCAGACTCTCCACTTGTTTCAACCATCTGTTACCTGCTGCAGTCCCATTACCTTGACTGTCTGTATTGCCCGAGATCCCCTTAATTCTCTGAGGCTGTCTATTGCTTGCTGAGGTGTCACCACATCCGAAAGCTGAAGCAGGAGGCATGCAGCTACTGTAAGGGAAAGGCAAGCATGTATTCTGCTGAGCACCTCTTGCTCTGCACAGCACTGCTTTGGCACAGTAACTGCTTTATTCTGTGAAAACCACTCTAGGCAAAGCCAACCCCGCCATATCAGAGATAACACATCTGCTGGACCTTTTACCAAACAGAGTTGGATGGCCTTTGTCCCATCTGACTGCTGCACCTTTAAGCAGTGGTGCCTCGTGGGAACAAAGGTCTAAATCAGGTTAGTTAATCAGGCACTAAGAGCTGCTTACTGAGACAGGAGCGTCCGAGGCCACCGTAACAGCTGTAAGAGAAGAGAAGGTTTGGTTACAGCAAGCTGTGGCACACTGCAACACTCAGCCCCCCATACACAAGTGTAAGATACAGCTCCTGCCTCAATATATTCAAGAGCAGCAGTAGTCCAAGAAAGTCTTGTAATTACTTCTAGAAATACTGAGTATCCTCCATTTATTCTCCAGAGCTTCCTTTTTTACTGTCACTTTGGAGAATGTGCTGTTTTAAAGTTCCTCTTCGTTCATGGTAACAGCCCCAAAGGCACAAGAGGTCAACAGAAGGTGTGAAGAGGTCTCCATTTCCTTAAATCCTGCTCCAGGGTAAGGTTCTGATAACAGCTGTGAGTTAATGATAACAGCAGGCCTCTGCAACAGTGAGAAGTCCGAGAACTTCAGTGGCTGGCTGTGCAGGAAGCTGTCAGCAGGATCTCAGGGAACATGGATCTGGGAAAGCTCATTTTCTCTACACTGAGCTCAGCTACAAATGCTTAAAGATAGAACTTTCAACAAGTCTTATGCAATTTAAAATGAATTTAGCACTGCTAGGACCCAATGAGCCTCTGGTAAACAGCCTGGGGTACGTTATCCTGTGACAGTGTCTGCTTTAACTTACAACTCCTCCTACAGACCTGATATCCAACCAGCCCAGCCACAAGGAGCAGCACGGTACCAGTCAGCACACATTTTGAAGCATTTGCAGGACAGAGAAGGGGAAAGAGGGAGAAACAGATCTCAGAAAGGCCAAGTCAGCTCCAAAGGGGTACAAGAGGTGAAAGAAGTTTTTCACAGCTTGAGCTAACCCCAAAGCGACTGTCATTTGACAGGGTTCCATTTCAGGTGGTCGTGCAGGAAGACTCGGTGAAGGAACCACAACTTACTGGATGATTGTCTTCCTGTTGCTTTCCAGGCAGCTTCTGAGCTCTTCCAGAATTGTGCAGCAGGTGGTGACGTCAGGAGCATCTCCATCTGGAATAGGATAGTGGTGCACACAGATCCCACACTCTTGGTAGGCATCTATAAGGTTTGGCACTCGGTATTTTAAGAGCTCTCCTTTGGTACAAAGCACAAACACGTCCTGTGTCCCACAGCTCTTTAGTTCGTCTGCCAACAGATTAAGCAAACAAACAAAGCCTATCAAGCTTAAGCATGAACAGATTTGCTACTTGGTACCAATCCCCTCGTTTAGCCTTTGAAGTTAAGACAACAGAAGTTAGCAATTTTGCTTTGAGCAGCATTTATTTCTGTTGAGTCTTGCCTACACTTGTCTTCAGATAACCTGCAGGAGGAATTCTCAGTTCAGAATCAGCCTGCAGACAAGGCTCACCCAAAGTAAGGTCAGCACTGAAAACAGTCCTACTAACCACTGCTGGCTTAAGCATGATTCTACTCCATCTCCAGCTATAACTGTCCAACTGTCTAGCCTTTTCTAGCCCTTACAGCTGAATCCCAAGCACAGATTTTTTACAGTATTTCATCTTTTCTATCCTCTTCACAGTTTCCACTGGGAAGGGGAGATAACAGCTCTGTAATTCATCTCAGTCCTAACTGTCCTGGAGATGCTCTTGGCCTGCACATGGTGTGTGACTTCACAGAACTCAAGTTACTGGGAGCAATACAAAGATAGCTGCATTGCTCCAGCCTGGAAATATCCTGCCCAGGTTAGGTGAACAGCAGCTCCATCAGACTCCAAGTCAAAGGAAGCCTGTAAGAGTATCTTCTGCTTCATTTTTCACTCACATTGTTCTTACCCATTCCATGGCAATGTGGGGCAAACAGGCTCTGAACAGAAGACTCACCGATATCTTTCTGAAGGTTCCTTCTAATGTCCTTAAACCTGCAACCTAAAACAAACGATGAATGCTGATTATGGCCTGAGATTTCATAAATGCCTGCTACAACAGAAGAGCAAAGCAGGCACCCTCCCCTCAGCACCAAAGCCACATCCCCACAACAGTTCTTGGTTCTGCAAATGGATTGCTAGTGCAAAATGCAGTATTAAGCAAATAATGGTGTTTAAACTGTCATGGAACAGGATTTTAAATGTCACTCAATGTTTTAAGCTATTGTACACCTTAGAGATGAAAAATTTGGAGTATTATAAATCAGAATGCATTTGGTGCCAGGACTGTGCACCTCTGGAAGCATACCCTGAAAACATGGGTACAGAATCCTGTACAAGAGCTCCGCTGGCAGGTCTGCACTGCAGTTTAGCATTCAAAGGTTGAACATCTTTTAAAGGAGCAGCTCATGTAGCTTAACATGAAAATGCAACTATTTCTGGTGTACATGATAGCAGGTGTTTTTGTGGGATTCTCATCAGTACTGGCACCACCTATTGAAGGTATCTTAAATCATAGAACCATAGAATGGCCTGGGTTGCAAAGGAGCACAGTGCTCATCCAGCTCCAACCCCCTGCTGTGTGCAGGTCACCAACCAGCAGCCCAGGCTGCCCAGAGCCACATCCAGCCTGGCCTTGAATGCCTGCAGGGATGGGGCATCCACAGCCTCCTTGGGCAACCTGTGCCAGTGCCTCACCACCCTCTGGCTGAAAAACTTCCTCCTCATATCCAACCTAAACCTCCCCTGTCTCACTTTAAAACCATTCCCTTGTCCTATTACCATCCACCCTCACAAACAGCCGTCCCCCCTCCTGTCTACATACTCCCTACAAGTATTAGAAGGATACTACTTGGAAGACACTCGGCCAAATAACAGAAAATAGAATTTAGGGCTACGAGATAGTTCTTCTCGTCAGCTCAAACACACCCACAGACTTCAGCAGTGCTGCTTACCTGGCAGGGAACACACAGCCAGGAACGCAGAGGAGTAGGCAGGAGGCAGTGGAAGCCTGTCAGGAGATAGACCGCACGTTAAGTAATCGGAAAAATATAAAAAAGAAAAGCAGCACTACGCTGATCACTTAAAGAGAGATTCTGTACAACACCGAGGGAACAGCACATCCCACAGCACGCTCCCGCACAGGGCCGATAGAACCCCACAGCGCCCGCCCCGCTCCTCACCAGGACAGCGGCAGCGGCGCCGGCTCCTCCTCCTCCTCCTCCTCGGCGGCCTCTTCGTCTGACGAGTCGAAGCCCGCTACGTGCATGGCTCGCGGCTGGATGGAGAAGAGAGACGAACACAACGGAGCGCTGCGCTACCCCTCGCTTAGGGCCGAGGTTGAGGGGCCGAAGATCCCAGCCCCGGCCCCAAGATGGCGCCGCTCCCCTCCCGCCGTCCTTTTGAATCCAGCCCGCCCACCCGCCGCATCTCATTGGTCAGCCCTTCCCTCTCGGCGTCCAATGGAGAGCCATCGAGGGCCCTTCTCTATTTGGCGGCCAGAGGAGGAGAAGCTCGTTGATTGGCTGGCGGCGATGTCGCTTGAATTTGGCATCTAAAAAACTCGCATCCAGGCTTCACTTTCTGGAATTTTCTGTCATAGAATCACAGAACGGCCTGGGCTGAAAAGGAGCACAGTGCTTATCCAGCTCCAACCCCCTGCTGTGTGCAGGTCGCCAACCAGCAGCCCAGGCTGCCCAGAGCCACATCCAGCCTGGCCTTGAGTGCCTGCAGGGATGGGGCATCAGCAAAGAAAAGTAGTCATAGATGGCCTAAAACTTGCCCATAGGAAGTTCTTTACTAACGTGTGGAAGAACTTCTCTACAGTCAGGATGACAGGGTGCTGGAACAGGCCTTAGAATGCTGTTCTGGAGTTCAATAAGGCCTGCCCCCATTGGGTTATATGGCAAGTGGAATCTAAAACAGCTCCATCTTGTTTTCTTCTGCCCAGCGTTGTATCATGGCACCAGTGCAATGAGTCCCTTGGTTGCTCTCAGTGACATGAGGTGTGCTGTAGGCAGCCGCTTGGTGAGCACCTTGATGCTACTTGCCTGGTTCACTCTTGGCACTGGCTAGGCCTGCCTTAGCCCTCTTGCTGTTTTGATGCATGTCTCACCCTCTCAGACCAAGGCAGAGGCCAAATGTAATCAAACTGCTATCACTGGAGAGGACTGCGTCCTCTAGCAAGGTGTGCTGCTGTTTCAGGCCACAGTCTCTGCCTCATCTTGGAGCAAGCTTTGCAGTCTCAGCACGCCTGGACAGTATCAGACAGTTGTATGGGCAGCCCCCATGCTTTAGCAGCTGCTCATGTTGTCTTTTGTCCAGCTTCTGATATGGCCAGCAGGTGATGCTCTCATATGGTGAATCCTCAATCCATCAGATTCAAGCCAGTGTGTCAGCTTCATCATTTCACAAATCACAGAATGGCCCGGGTTGGAAGGGACCTCAAGAATCACGAAGCTCCAACCCCCCTGTGCCATGCAGGGCCACCAACGTCCACATTTCACAGCAGCCCAGGCTGCCCAGGGCCCCATCCAGCCTGGCCTTGAACACCTCCAGGGATGGACGGGGCATCACAGCCTGTCTGGGCAGCTGTTCCAGCACCTCACCGCTCTCATAGCACAGAACTTCCCCCTGACCATTTCCCAGTGATTGTAGAGGTCGGTGGCCAGAAACATGATAGACATGTAGGGTCGTGTGTTTAACCACATCCCTAGCCACATATCTCTGCCCCAGACTGGTTGGGCATGGATAGTCCATTCCTGAGTTACTTTGATTGCTTGGTTTGGTCCCAGAGTCCTGTTGATGGCTCAGCACTGGAACTGCACAGAGAGACTGTCACTAGTGAGCTGTCTGAAGGAATTAGCATTCTGCAGGTAGCAGTCATAAATCCTTCCAGTGACATCAGCCTTATGATTCTGCAGCAGTGGATATTAACCTTTTCCCTCATGTTACAATTTAAAGAAGTTTTCAGGCTTCTCCTCCCCACAAAAGTCATAAAGAGTTAGAAGTTAATTACAAGCTCTCACACCAGATTCACCCCTGCGTATGTGACATTGACCACACTCTCAGCACTGTTCTAGGCAGTGTGTGCAAGTGCCCTTCTCAGCTGTGTTGCTTTGTGCTGTGATTGCCTTAAGGCTCCTTGCCTGATGCAATTTTCCTCCCAGCTGTGGCCACACTGAGGATATGGGTTCAGATGCTCTCACTGCTGTCAGGGGATCCCCACCTTTACACGTTTTATTTGTTCAGCCAGCTGGTGCCACTATTCTTTTCTTTCCAACAGATTTTTTTCCTCCTGTAGTAGAAAAAAATAACAAATTATTTGCCAAAACCCGAGGAGCCCAATTCTGTTCTGTAGCAGGAAGGTGAAAATTTCCTATCTCAAAAAAACTGGATGACTTTCATGTTCATAATGGTCACCTGAAGTCATTTTCTGTGCAGGGGGATGGGGCCCAGGGATGCAGTGCTGGTGATCAGTATGGGCAGATAGCAGAGCGTTTGGTGAACGTTTCTGCTTTTTAGGTACAAATGTCACAAAGCTTTACGTTTCTGGTAGAAAATGACATATTGCTCTCCTTGAGTGTAATTAACTCTGATTGAACAACATCACAATTTCTTGCTTTCCTGGCAGAACTGAAATGTGGCATGACAGAGTGTGGGCATTTTTATAAACCTGAAATAAATTTGTCTTGCTCTTCCCTCTGCCTTCCTCCTCTTCACATACCAACAATAACAGCAATTAAAGAAGTCATTAAGCTATTGCAGGAGGCATTCAGGTCTAATGGAAACCAGCTCCTCTCTGTGAAGATGAGGTTCATCAACCCACTGGTGACTGTCAGCTATAGTTTTCTGCTTGTCCTAATTTTGCCCTAAATTAATCTGTTTGGACCGTGGATCAAGGCTGACTTTTATCTGGCAAGTCCTTCGTGTTGCAGAAGTGCAGTGGGAGGAGAGAGGCAGGAGGTCCAGAGAGAGAACCTTTCCCTGACCCTCATCTGGTGCAGCTCCAGGCTGTTCCCTAGAGAGCAGAGCTCAGCACTGTGCCTTTGCTCCCTGTGAGGAGCTGCAGGCTGCCATGAGAGGCTGTAGGCTGCCATAAGAGAGTTGGGTAGAGAGGAACCCGATGGGCTTCAATTAGAGCAAATGTAGAGTCTTGCACTTGGGGAGGAATAACCGCACACATCAGTACAGGTTAGGGGCTGACCTGCTGAAGCTGAGCTCTGTGGAGAAGGACCTGGGGGTCCTGGGGGATGACAGGTTGGCCATGAGCCAGCAGTGTGCTTCAGTGGCCAAGAAGTCCAGTGGGACCCTGGGGGTGCATTAAAAAGAGCATGGCCAGCAGGTCGAGGGTGGTGATCCTCCCCCTCTACTCTGCCCTGCTGAGGCCGCATTTAGATCACTGTTTGGGGCTCCTCGGTTGAAAAAAAGACAGGGATCTCTTAGGAGGAGACCAGCAGAGGGCCACAAAGACGATAAAGGTTCTGGAGCATCTCTCCTATGAGGAAAGGCTGAGAAACCTGGAACTGTTCAGCCTGGGGAAAAGAAGACTGAGGGGGAATCTGATTAATGTTTGTTTATAAATATCAAAAGGGAGGTGGGAGGCAAATGCATGATGCCAGGCTTTTCATAGTGGTGCACAGTGAGAGGACAAGGAGTAATAGCCTAAAATTTGAGCATACGAAGTTCCATACCACCGTACAGAACTTCTTCATAGTGAGGGTGATGGAGCACTGAAGCAGGCTGCCCAGAGAGGCTGTGGAGTCTCTATGGTGACATTTGAGATCTGGATGCCTTCCTATGTGACCTAGCGTGGGGTCCCTGCTTTAGCAAAGGGATTGGACTCGATGATCTCCTGAAGTCCCTTCCAGCCTCTGCAATTCCATGATTCTGTGGCAAGGAGCTGCAGCCACCATGATGGCTCCCCTCAGCCTCCTCTGCTCTGCACCCAACAAAACCAGGGCTCTCAGCCACCTCTCACATCTCCTGCCCTCAGATCCTTCCCCACCTTCATAGTCTTCCTCTGGACACTGTAATGGTTACACTAGCTTGCTGCCCTGTAAGCTCTGGAGGAATGTTTTTTCTGTCTCTTTTTAAACAAAATCCAAGCTCACTGCAACTCAGTCTGTAGGTAAATCAATCAAACATGGAAAATAAAGGAGCAGAATTTGAACATTAGAATAAGTTTAAAGATTTACTGAATCATTCTCTGGCTTCTTTTTAAAAACTAGGAAAAAAAGTATAGCAAGTAGTTGTGAAAATTCAGTCCTTTGGATGCTGCAGGACTGAAAGTTTCTATTTTAGCAAGAGATGAGTGATCGTGTCTTGAAGTTGCTTTATTCTTTAGAAGTGTCTCTCACAACGAGGAGGAGGCCTCCTTTATCACAGATACAAACAACTTGCCTGCTGGTGTCCATTCCGGTATGCAGAAACATCCCTTCTGGCAGAATCAAGGCATGAGCTCTCATGTGGTTGATACAGGTGCTGGCAGATCAAAATCTGTCTGTTTTCCTGCTGAGGAGAGAGCTTCCCTTGTAAGATCTCTTTCCTCAGGGTTTATGAGCTAAACTGGGCAAACAGCTTCCTTCTTTCACAGCTATGAAGGATGTCAGAACGTTGCAGCTGTATGGTACGTGCTTTTCTCTGAACTTATTGCTTTGAAAGCTCTGAAATCTGAATTTCACCTTCTCGTGTCCTCACTCAGCTTTCTTGCACAACATTCCTTCAAAACAGAGGAGAAAAAGAGTAGAAACAGAGATGAGGACATAGAAACATGCTGTTTTGTTCCCTTACCAGCCCCAAAACACAGGATGCAGGCAGGAAAGCTTTGCACAGGCGATTCTGGCTGCCACCAGGTTTGGTCTATATTTATCCTATTTCACAGCAGGATTTAACACCATGGTGAATGTTACTGATCATCCAGAGGATATCTTCGTGGCTGCCAGGTGTTTGTTATGTTACAAGCTACAGTTTGCCTTGCTAAGTGTTGCTGCTATGTTAGAGCTTTCATAGAGAGGAAGCTGTCAGCGATGTCCTCTTACCACAACACTCCCATGAGAGCTGGTGGCTGGAAGGAGAGGTGACAAACCTTGGTGCAGCTATGAGATATCCAAATCATGGACTCCGTTTCTCATTCTGGCAGGACTTTATGTGAGCATGGGAGGTGTTTTGCATTGCCCCACGCTTCTGCAATGCTATGAGGCAGAATTGTGGAATCATTTAAGGTCGGAAACCACTAGGAGTTCTTACTCCAAATGTCAACCCATCACCAGCAGGAGCAGTAACCAAATGCATAAAAGCAAGTGTCTCTTGGGTGATTCCTTAACCTGCATGAATCCTCTCTGAAATGAATGCATGAACACTTCCCTTACTCTTGTTGGTTGACTGTCT